GGGTGTGGATGTGGGTGTGGATATGAATTTCTTTTCTTCTACACCCACACTCTGTGGAAAGTACGGTGACGCCAGCTCTCGTGAAAACGAAAAAGTTGTAGTAAACCAACACTTGGGTGAAATTCCACTAATCCCTATATCCCACCCACATTGAACATGTCGACCGCCTTTCGATCTTCTTCTGAACCTAGACAAGTCCCATGAAACGTTTGGTGGCGCCAGTTATTACAAGGACCAAAAACTTGCAGTATATCATGACTTAGGTGAAATTCGATCCAACTCCCTGCCAACCTTTCTCTGGACATAGGGAAGGTCCATGAAAAGTTTCGTGGTCATGGCTATTACAGGGGCTGAATGCATAAATAACAGAGGAACAAACTTTCTTCTTTATATATATAGATAGATAGATATAGACTGGAATACAAGCTATGCTGGCTTGTAATGTTTCATTGACGATAATATTTTATAAATTTTATTCCACTGTTTTGTAACAATTACGCTATAACTTTGATATCACTCTTAGGTATTATCGTTTTTAATTAAAACAGTTTCTCTTTTAGAAAAATATATTCCAATTGCCACTAAAGTTATAAGGGAAACGCTTCATTCTTTAAGAAATTGGCTGATTGATTCCGGTCAATTTCTACATAATGATAAATCCAAAAACTCTGTTTCATTGGATTCACAAGCGAATACGCAACTACAATCTATTTATACCGGAGAACATTGAGTATGATGATGCATCACAAGATTCAGCAACTGCTGTTAAGCATCAAAAATATAGTACTCGATTGTACATTCTTCTCCTCATAGGTAAATAAAATACATATTTTCTGTTCTCTAGAACGTATCTTAGTCGACAAACTAATAATTAAATTTGAGAAAAGACGAGTCGTAACGAAGTACAGTGTGGATCTGTGTGAGGTTGCGTCTAGATATGAGTATGGTCAGCTGTCAGTAGATTGTTAGCCTCAAGTCGCGACACAACCGCAAAGGCTTCTGAACTAGAGACCTGAGCTTCATGAAATTGGGTGGGTCTGTCCTGTCACCTTCCATAAGATATAAGCCCTGCATATGTGTATGCCTTCACCTCCACACTCATATTCTGACCCCACCTGCACTAGCTTACGTCTTGAGCACAGGATTTCCTGCCGTTCCGCCGTGACTGAAGGCTACTAGTGAACATTTCTGAATCCGAATCCGGATCCGTATCTTAATTGCAGCCTTAATACTATCAAGAATTTTTTTATGTTCACATTTAAAAGTCCCTCCGCAAATACAAATTCCTTGTTTTCCGTATATGTTTATCAGTGACTAGCGCACTTGATATATCCCTTAGGTAATCCTGGTAATGGTTATCACGATAATCAGGTTATTATTGAATTTTACTTCTAACTAAAATTCATCATCCCAGGTGAATAAATTCGATTGAATCTTATGGGATCGGACAGGAAACCGGAGGATGAACCGAAAGACAGATCCTCAGTGTTGGGATCCGATTACTGGAAAACAGCGTATCCTAATATTTTAATCTACTGTTGATTTTATGATACGATACCGCAATGCTCTCATATAAATCTTGTTCATCATTTGATCCTATCGGGTCTTGGTGTAAAATCCTATCGGATTCTAACACTAAAGATTCGTCTCTAGGTTCATTCCTCGAATTCCTGGCAGATGTTTGTTGGGTCATGGGATTTGATAGAATTTTGAGAGGCTGTCAATCGATTCTGTATCACACTCGATGGAATCTGATATCGAATTTAATCACCAGGGGTATTCATAATTTTGAACCTAAACCAGCTCTAACACCTACCTATCCAAAATGAGTATTCTTTTTATGTATTTATTTTCTTTTAGTGTCATTCTATATCCTTTTCAACATTGCCTTTATGAAGCCACAATCTCGATCAATCACTATTTCGAATATTACCCCTGATATCTTCGAAGAACTTCATCTTAAACATGGTCCAACTCTTCTATGTCCATGCTCGAACGCCTCAGTACCTTATAAAATTTTTATTTCCAACACTATAACACATCATCCTGTTTGTTCAAGTATTTTCGTGAGTCAACAGTGGATTCAAGCACTCTATTTGGTAGACGCAAGTAGGTATGGTATGATGGATTTTCGAACGATCGCTTATTCTCAGGTGAGCCAATATCTTTTATTAAAGAAACCCCTACTTGCCATTACAGACAAATTTGATTAGAATATTTTATTCTATGGATTGAATGGGTATATAAGTGTTAATGTAAGTTTGGGTGTGGATATGAGCTAGCGGATGTGGAGTGATAATATTTTATTAACGACACACCCATCATCTTAAGGGTGTGGTGATGGTGTAGGTGTGGGTGAAAATACTACATGAATTGCTTTATTCTGACACTTTAGAAAAATTCTAGACAGTTTTCGAACTCAAAAATATTGTCAAAATTCTGTTGGCGAAACTCCTATTCTCCAATTTCTGGACAACCATTCAGATCAACAAGATAACTACTCATAATTAATTGATTGTTCATATTACAAATACAATATATAGTTACCAGCTGAGACCCGTGCAAAATGCACGACAGTTTTCATCAATAAGAGGGTTTTGTTTTTATAAAAGGCAAGCCAGCTATCAAAGATGCGCTTCATAACTACACCACCCACTCCCATGCTATGTCACGCACACTCAACCGTCGCCACTCTCACTCACATCCTTCAAACGTATTCCGCCAGCTCCAACCTATTCCCATCCAGTTCCACTCGCTCTTACAAATTCCACTCATTTCCACACATTCCTACCCTACTTCACTTGCTTCAACCCGCTTCTGCCTTATTTCACCCAATTCACCGACTCTCACACCATCCTACAGTATTTCACCCACCCCTACCCTATTTCACTCATTTCCATCCACTCCCACCCGCTTCTACGCTAAATCTTCCAATCCACCCACGTCCACCCAGTTCTACCCTGTTTCACCCAACCAACCCATTTCCATCCACTTCTATCTTATTTCACCCAATCGACCCGCGTCTACCCTATTTCCACTCACTCCCACCCACTTCTACCCTGCGTCACCCAATCCACTCACTTCTGTTCTATTTACCCATTCCCACATACTTCTACCTTATTGCATCCCTTGCCACCTATTTCTACCTTATTTCATGCATTTCCATCCACCTCTACCTTATATCACCCACTTTTACTGATTCTACCCACTCTCAAGTAATAAGGATTGGTTGATGTTATGATGCTGAAATCTGATTGATTGAAAAAATTGACCGATTGAATACCGGACAAACAGACGAATTTCCGTGTTGCTAACTCATCCTTGCAGGATTGCGAATTACAAATACAATATATAGTTTTAGTTCAGTTTCAGTAGAACATAAACAGACGAATCGATGTTGTAACTTGAAAGTGTGATGTACAGCAGAAACAAAATTTTCTTCTTTTTAAAGTTAGCACAAAAAAACTACTTATGATCAAAAACTATCTTGAAGATATGAGGGATAGATAAGGGTGAAGGCGAGAAGGAATTCGACCGAAACGAAATTGGGTGGAATCAGAGGAGATTCCCGAAATTTCTGGCAGTTCCACTTTGACTCAATTGCCTGAATTCCAGGAATTCTGTCGGAATTCGGTACCAGAATAACTTATAAATTTGGAGGAATATTCTCTGAACTTAACACAAAGCGTCTGGGTGACTACAAGAAGAAATTTCGGAACGACGTTCCAGAAATTGAGTCTGACAGGAATCGAATGAAATTTCAGAAGTTGGAAGGTACTGATTCCGGAATTGGTGGGAAGTAACTACAGGGGCGGAACCAGTTCCGCAATGCTCAATCTCGTGGAATAGGATGTATTGTCTCACATAAGGACGTGAACGATCACCATTTGCTCTGTGTGTCTAACCCAACAAGCGAGTAGATATGAGCGCAATGAGTGACGAACAGAATGCACTCATATTGATATTCACCTAACACTGAGTAATATTTCTTATATATTGTAACGAAAGAATATATATTCTATCATGAATAATTGATTTATCGATAATTATTTTCATCCATTTTCTTTCAATTCAGTTTCAAATTCTCTCAAGTCTTTGTTCAATCAGCCAAGATACAGTCCTACAAAATCAGAAAGATTTTAATAATAGTGAATTTGTTACCATTAATCTTCTACATGAAGTTCAATTTCGATCTGAAGTTAATGGCATCATTGAATTCTTTAAGAACGGTACATCGAGTCAAATACTTACAATTTTGAACTATCTTAGAACTACAACTCGGGCAAACTATTTACTTTCGGCACTCAATACAAATGCGGTGATTACAACTTATATAGATAGAGGCAAATACGTGTCTCACGGGTTAGCTACTGCATATTATCCGTCTAGTCTTGATGATACGTCGGCGAAAGCCGAGAAGTTACTTTGCAACACTCAAAATCCAATTGGTGCTGTTGGCTTTTTCGAAGTTTCATCTCAGACACTGATTGACTATCATGAGAAATGGCATGCCTATATGGAAAATAATGTACCACTAGTCAATGGATTCTTTGGAAGTTGCACTCCTCTTGAAGGTCTTTTATCATCGACACTTGCTTGCTTGTATGATAGCAAATGTATTGATTTATTGATTGATTATTTTCCAGCAATTAATCAAGTATGTATATAGAACCATTATAAAAGTTTTCCTCACTATGCTTTTTGTGTAGATTCAACCCAATTGGACCGATTCTGTTCTTTATTCAAAATACGAAAATGTTTCTGTAGAAGATTTAACAACTAATCTTTTCATTGAAGCATGGTTACCAAAAACAAATTATTCGGAGTATTTTCATGAATGTGCTCCTTCACGGTGTACATACACAACCACAGATTATACTGATTTCTCGTATGCAGTTATTCTCTTGATTAGTCTATATGGTGGTCTCACTATTATACTTCGTTTGATCGCACCATTCTTGATTAATATCTCATTAAAATTCAAACGCCGCTTAAGAAATACAACTGTTGATTCAGGTATGTCTTGAATATAATGAACATAGTGTTATTCTGCTTCTGATGTTTATACTATTTGTAGTATCTTATCGAATACATCTACGCAAATTTGTACAATTTGTAAAACAATTAAACTTGTTTGAAATGATCAACGAACGAACAGAAAACCATATCAAACAACAGAAAATTATCACTCGTGTCTATCTGATTTTATTAACAGGTATGATTATTTTCGCTACACGTATTTATACTATTATTGAGGGCAAAAATAGTTCTGTGTATTGCGTATGAATAGCGGGTTTATCGTTCAGTTACTAGCAGATGACGGTCGATGGTTTCTTTTTGTAGAGATGAAACCGAAACTATTAGCGGATGGTCCAGTGTGGCCCATTCTCTACTTTGACCGATCGTGAAATGAGCGGATGATAGATGCATATTTTTAAGAAAGTCAAGTTGCCATAAGTTATTTGAATTTTTAGTACAGATTACATGTATAAGGCGGATAATTTAGAATTTATTCTGTTACAAAGGAAAAGTGGTTTTGAAATCACTTCGAATGATCTATGTTCGTGTTTGGATGTATATATATATATATTGACTTGGAACGAATTTACTTAAGGTGTGTTCGTTTGAAAAATCTCGAGTATTATTCTTGATGAATAAGTGATAAGTGATGATACATAAGTATATTCGTTAATGGTAATTAGTTCTCATATACGATATTCGAAATGTCAAACCAAATATCCCACTTGAGATCGGCGTTCATTAATTCGTCAGATATCTGATTTTTCTTTATTTCCTGAGTTTCCTAACTTCTCATTTAAACAAGAACGTATACTTCCATTGCTTTCTAATTCATTTTCTCAGAAGAATCGAATTTTTTTCTGATGCCAGAAAAAAGATTTCGGCCTCAATAGATTAAAATATTGTTCAACTCATACATCACTTCGTATTAAAAGATGTGTGTGGACTAACACTTTCATTTCTTTTGTTTCATCAGGTTCATTTCTCGTTCTTCTTCTATTCACTTCATTGAATACGCAAACAGCTACGATAACTGTCCAGAATCCATCATTAACCACGTACAATGACTTACAAGTCTTATATTTAAACACACTCCGATGTCCTTGTTCTACTATGATAATACCTCACCGGACTATAATTTCATTGTCTCCAATTTTACATCAAATATGCGCAAGTGATTTTCTTGACGATCGTTGGATTTTAATATTGGAAGAAAGTCAGATCGCAGGTATTTCGATAGATTGGCGTAATAGAGCTCACTCGCAGTTTCGATTGTTGTCCGAACTTTGTGAACTAGCTAATAAGACGATCGATGATCATGTACATCGATTTCTCTCACAACCCTTTATTGCATCAGCTGCACTGACCGAATTTGAATTTGAAACACAGTTAAATGCGACTCTTGATCAATTTTATCAATCGACGACGGATTATTTTGGTCTTCTTGTTGAGACAGTACGCCTTGTTAATCAAGTTGATCAACCTTTTACCGGATCATCAGTAATAATTGAAAGTGATTTCGTTCCAGACTTAGCCGTAAATATGATGACAGATGAGATAACCAATCAAAAATCATTACAGGTATGAATTCATTGACAATGCAAAAATACGTCTTCTCCTTTTTTTGAATGAGATTTTATTCGGAAATTCTACTTATATTACATGAAAACTTTTAAATACACCTGTGAGAATTCCTTTACCACATAATGTTTACTTTTCTAAATAAGAATAAAAAAAGAAGAAACACTGAATACCGCTGGTTGGTTGACTACACCGATAAATAACTACAAGAACAACTGAAAAATAAAGTTTCAATTATAATACATTAAATTGATTTATTCGAGAATATGGAGATTCAAATAAAAAGTATTTATAGTGCAAACCGAGAGAAGACCCGTTTGAACTTATAAACGTATAAGAGTTAGACTAGTCAGAAAGATCATACTGAATTTATGATAACGAATAAGTACAACCATCACACCAGAATACATAATTGATCTATTACAATGACTGAACATATCAGATACATATCTATTTTATTTTTAGGTAATATTTCGTTTGTTTGGTACTCAAGATCCAAATTCAACATTGATCAACTGTATCTGTGCTACTGGCTCTCTTTGTCAAAGTCCGGCTACTATTCATGATATCGATCTCAAAAGAGAAACTAATTACAGCTTTACTGTTGTTTATACAATTCCTGGCTGGATTTTAGGTTGTTCTCCTATTGATAGTATACTACTTTCGACACTTGAATGTTTCTATTCCGGCTCAGACTGTTTAGAAATTTTAATGGATTATTTACGAGACAGATATTGTTTTTATGTTAAAGAATGTTCTTCGTTTGATTTTGGTCCTCTTATTTATAATTCAAGCTTAAGTCGTTTTCCTCCAAAGACTTTGATTTCATCAATAGTTAAAAAATTAATGATCGAACGATGGAATCCATCTCTTTATTACGATCGATTTTACGAATTGTGCGCACCAACTCATTGTACTTATTCTAAGAGCATACGCGAAAAAACTGCTGTTGGAGTAATGATAACGTTAGTGTCCCTAATTAGCGGTCTGACCGTTTCATTACGTTTAATTACACCACAACTAGTCAAGTTGATCATGCTTTTAGTGTCATTAATTAAGAAAAAACGACAACGACAACAAAAAACGCAATTACAAGGTAATCGGTAGTAAGATATCTCCATGTATAAGGAGCTTTAGATTGGCTATCTTCGTTTATGATAAATACTAGTTCATAACATAGTTTATGAAGAGTCCGAGAGAATTTTTTTATCCTCGTTTACTTTTCCCTAAAGTATCAACTCTGCCTTTAATATCTTTAATCCTTTTGATACTTTTAGGTCTTTTAGTCTTCTTGGTCCCTTAAGTACCATTAATTCTTTAAGTGGTTTTAGATATTTTAAGTCCTTCTAGTCTTCTTGTCTTTTAGTCCCTTCAATCCTCTCGGTACCATTAGTTTGATGAAGAGTATAGCTGGTGCACCCAAAGTTCCCACATTAACATTCATTGTCTCATTTATATCTATACCCTCACTCATATCCATACCGGTATCCTCACACTCACCCTACCAAAAAATATGGACATAGCAGTGAAGTTTCATCAATAGAAAGAAAAATTCTAATATATAAAACCAAAACCGGATAAAACAAAATTTTCACGGACCAATGTAGTTTGTAGAAGATAAGAACAAGCTTTTGAAGATCTTAAATGATAATTAGCAACTAATTTATAAGCGCATTAGCTAGGACCTCTTGAAATTAGTCTATTAGATGTCAACGGCATTCGTATTTTAGTTGATACTTTTCATTAACAATATTAACAGTCTTCTCACTAGGATTGTATTAAATGTCTTGTTGATCAGACCTGGTTGTTATGTAAACAAGATCGAATCTTTCATCATTAGAAAATAGTTTGATTGATGCATGAAAAAGTTCAAAAACTACTATTCACCTATTGAAATTTGTCGGTTTTTTAGAGTGAAGGTTAGGAGTTGGATATACAAAATACAGCACATCACGTGAGAATCAGAGCAAATATGTTCAAACAATACTCTACAGTATGAGGTGAAGAGTGACAATTTTTTAAATGCATGCGTATCACGACAAGGAATACAGACTAGAGCACCAACTGAGATCAGGATTGACTGGAGTTGACGTTCTCTTAAAGATATGCAACATATAGTTAATCTTTTTCTTTATCAAAAATTCAATTCTACTAATCAACTTCCACACTACTATTGAATGGGATCGTTCTAAGATAGAAATCGACATGTAGAACATTTAGAATGTTTGCAATTTTTTGAATAATTTTCTGATTCGATTAATATATAGCACGTATTTACTTGATGAGACAAGACAATCTATAGGATATGTCGTTTTATGCTTAGTTCGTTCAAATTGGTGCAATAAAATAAAAGCGATGATGCAAAAGCTGGGCAAACTTATTTATAACACTGTAGTCGATTTAAACCTATTCCCTGCAAGGAATTTTAGTAGTCATATTAATCCAATGACAGCTAAACGTCTTGGTGAATGGACTACCCGTCTCTATATTATTTTGTTTATTGTTGGTCTTTTCGTTCTCCTCGTATACACAATTGCTCGACGTCAAACGGTGACGAAAACATTCAATCAACCTTCTTTCATTTTATATAATCGTCTCCACCATGAACATCAAGATAAACTGGAGTGCTCTTGTTCATTTATTGCATCGAAATTCAAACGATTTGTCGAAATCGAAGCAAAATTTCATCAAGTAAGAACAAATAATTTTTTTCCTCTATGTAAAGAAAAAGTGTTACAAATGAAAAAGATCTGTTTGTTAATCTATCTGAGCCAATTACAATTGAGAGACAGTTTCTTCAATAAAATCCTTTTTACAAAAGGAGATTAAGTGGCGAGATCTTCTAAAACGCATCAATAAAAAGCTGACAGCCCATATTCATCTATCTATGAGATCTTTTCAAGTAAGAATTATTCTTATTTGTTAGCTAATCATACATATAATGGTAAGTAATGACTCAAAGATCGAGAGTAACAAGCTAACCGATATGTCAAATTTCACTATTATTTATTTCTCGCCCAATCCGGTGTTTTGTGAGATATCAGCTAGTGAATTTAATCAAAGTTCTTATGTTATAGTCATACGTATATATGAACAATATAGAAAGATCGTCTGATAAGTCCTTCTGAGATAATTTCGTATATGTAAGATCAATAACTTCTATATTAACCCTTTGAGACCCATAATTTAATCTATGGACGAAACCTCTTAAAAACTTGATATTTTGTATGAGCACTGAGTATTATCGACATTTCCATTGATACTTCAAAAAAATATTTTAAGTCATTTTCCACTTTTAGCCGTACCTCCCTACGGGAATGATGAGAAATATTTTAGCCACTTCCTTGGAGGTGTACGAACGGGAGCTTAAAAACTGACTCAGTAAGATTTTTAATCTCGCACAAATATGGCTTTACTAAGAACATTTGTTAAATATATTCGAAATTTTTCGAAAACTAGAATTTTTCGCTAGGTGGGACATATATGTCCCACCGGGACTCAAAGGGTTAAACTGTATAAACGTCGTTAGTTGGCAAATACGCGCTTTGTGTTCACTGGAGTTACAACCGATTGAAGTTTTCCATACCGATACCGATTACAATCAGCTATATCGGACCGAAGGATCGTCAAAAAGTATTGTGCAGTTTTCCATTAGATAGAAGCTACGAAACTAGATGCATTGGCTTTGTTGTTACTACATCGAACATCACTTCATTTCAATATTAAATCATTTACCACTCTAATTCAGTTAGTCTTTCCTTTTGTTTCATCGGACAGAAAATAATATTTTCGTTAATACCAACAGCTGAGATCAAATAGATACTACTAAATCAAATCTTTTAACTATTGATATTTTTGTATTATATTATGTATAAAATTCAAGGAGTAGGCGTGTAGCAGACTTCTGATATGATGAAACGTCCACTTTAAATCTAAGGAACCATTTTATATATGCGATTATTTGACGATGACTTTTTCAAAAGAGTCATTCTTTGATAGTTCTTGAATAATATCTGCAGGAAAATGTCGATGGATATGTTGATGATTGATTAAAACAAATAATATATTATTTATCATAGATTTTCTACGGAATTCTCCATGATAATTTCAAAAGAGTTTTCTCTTTTATTCACTTTGATTATTTTAAGATTTGTTCAAGTTCATTTGTTCTGGATGAATGGCAAAAAAATCTAACAAACGGTCTTGTCTCTGATCTGTCTGTGTATGAACAAAGAGATTATCGTCGTTTTCTATCTTCTCATTTACAATTCCTTCAAGGACTCTGTCAAATTTCGATTAATTCAGTAAATGATTCTATAAATCAATTTCTCTCTTCGTTATTCATCACTACTAAACTTTTATCAGAAAATGATTTTCGTGATCGAGTTGATTTACTATTTGAACAGAGTCAATTAAGTGCTCCTATAACATTCGGTCGTCTTTACTCCTTAATTGCAAGTATTAATCATGGTAATGCTATTATTTCAAGTTTCGGATCAAATTTTGAGTATATTGCTCCTTTTTATCAAGAGGTGTTTCCATATGCTCCTACTCAAGCTATAATCTATGATGAATGTTCCTGTGGATTGTATCCAAACTGTACAACCGAAGCAAATTTTATTGGAAGAGGTCATTCTAAAATCCACCCAATTAAAGGTTTGAAAATGGGTTGTATACCAAGTGAGTCATTTCGTAGTTCGACCCTTGAATGTTTTTATGATGAATCATGTGTTCAACTCATTCGACAATATACTAATTATACAAATCGTATCATTCCTCTCAATGCAACAAAGAGTCGATTCTTAATAAATACTTCTGTTGCTGAACTTATGAATAATCTGTTCATTGAAGAATGGTCAAAAACAATTAATTATTCACTATATTTTGCAAATTGTTTTCCGTCATTCTGTTCGTATAGTTATATTGAAAAAATCAATCTATTATATATAGTAACTGTTTTACTTGCTCTTCAAGGTGGTTTGTCAATTATTCTCAAATGGATTTGTCCTTTGATTGTTCGACTTCTATTTAAATTATATTATTATCGAAAGAACCGACGGAATATTATTCAACCTGACTGTTCTCTTCAAGTGACGACCATTAATGTCGACAACACGAATATTCTTAATCTACCCTCAAATTCTGAATCAAATCCATCTGGTACTATATCTGAGTATGTCTTCCTTATTTTATTTAATAAATAATTTATAACTCTTTACTTTTGCTAGAACAAATATTGTTTCTCCAATTCGATGTTCTTTTAAAGTTTTTTTAATATTTATATTAATGATAATTGTGGTAATCGGTTTGATTATATTTACAATTTCTCTTGCTCGACACGCAAAGAGTAAAGGTATACTAACGCGTATGTTCTATTTAGATTTCTTTGTTTGATATTGATTTCATTTGATTGACTGAAATTCACTTTTATATACGATCAAATAATATAATAGATAATTTCACTATTGAACATTTTCGTCAATCACACTAATAAAAAGTCTTCTGAGCGTAAATAGATTGAAAGGAATTTGTAGAGAAGAGTGACGAGATAAATAGAACATGAGTATAGTACTTGCAATCATAAAACTTATTATTTCATCGTCATTTTATTTGAAAGATTTAAATGAAGCGAACATGTTTACTGTCAATAGTAAATATTTTCATTAAATATCCAATCAAATCTAAACTTAATTTGAAAAATATTTCAAATTTAGAAAAACAAGATCTTGAAAATACAGAAAAGTTGAAAATGATTTGGTGATATTGACTTTAAAATACTTCAAGCAGTGATAGTTCATACGATCGACTGTTTAAAAGCGTCAAAAACATAACTCCTGTCCACATCGAATCTTTGATGGCGAGACATTTCTTCTTGCGACATTTTATCGAACTCACCTTATTAGTCAAATAAATGAGAGAAAATTTTCATCCGTGAATTACTTCAATCTATTCAATCTATGAAAACTTTAACAAATTAATATAATTTTAATATCTTTCTATCGAAGTTAATCTTTGTAATGGATTTAAATAAAATTTGTGTTAAATCTTGAATCAATGACAATGATATACTATAGATAAAGTAACTACAACTCAACCAGGAGAGTGTAGCTTAAATATCGCTCTTACTCATCCCCCCCCCCCCCCCAACTATCACCTCAGTACCTGTCAATATCTTTGTGTACTAGTGCTAACACTTACCCGTCGATTGATGGTTTACTTATTTATGATGAATTTTTCTCTAGAAATGAATTATCTAATACATTGAGTATTATTTTTATTTTCAGTTTCTTCGACAAGTATGAAAGTCAGTGTCATTACGGACACAACAACAAGTACGACAAGCACAACCACACGATGTAAGTAGATCCAAATTCTTCTTATTATCTGGTTTAATCTTGTCACGCAATGAAAACTAAAAATCTTCAATTTGTTTTCTCAAAGTATTTTTGAGATAATTTTCACGATGTGTACATCGATAGTGTAGAAGTCGTCCACCTTGAGGGTGCGGGTGTGGGTGAGGTCATTTATATTGTTTCACACCCAAACTCTGAAGGAACTTGAAGGACTAAAAGAACGAAAGGGTGTACACCATTCTTTAGTTAGATAGCATAAAAGTAAACCATGATAACTTTAATTCTTCGTGGACCCCTCTAGTTTGTGTGGTTACCTTGTAGATCAATTTATAGTTATAATTGGCATTCATCCACTGTCTTATTATCAGAGTTTGAGCGAATTCTAGAAAAAGTTTCTTAGTAATGCCTACGCAGGTCATTAGTTCAAAATGAATCTTTTCGAATTTCTCTTAAAACAATACACATATTTTTATACTATATATATATATCAATATATCAATAGCTACAAATACAACGACGACGAGAAGAACAGTTGTTCCTACTTGCGGTCCTAGTGTTTGTTGTAGTGCAAATTGTAGTGCTTGTATTTATAGTAGTACTACTTATTACTGTACTCGTTATTGGCATCCACGTGGTTATAATTTTTATAATACTATTAGTAGTTGTGCTGGTAATGGTGGTTCTTATATTTATTGTGATTATAGTACTACCTGTGGTAGTGGTGCTGGTAGTCCTGGTCTTGGTTCTGGTAATGGTTGCTGATAAAACATATATATATATATATTGTTTTATTTTGCGATTACAAACATCAAATATGGAAGACAAATTTAACTAGAAACTCGAATAAAGCTTAACTCGATATTCTTTTATTCTTCATTGTACTGTACTCTTTTAATCAATCGAAAACAGATCGACTTATCTCGTAACGGAAAGAAAAGTTCGATCTGCTAGCTTCAACTTTTGCTTTTCAGTAATCAATCGCTTATCAACAATTATTATTCTTTTCTTGATGTGCTTGTAAAATAATCAAATAAATGCAGAGTTTTAATTTTGGCTGACTTGCTTTGTATCTTTTACAAGATAGTACTCTTCACGGCTATAAGTATATCTAAAATAGAACAAAGAAAATATGATAATGATCATCTTGAGAATGTAGGTGTGGATGGGTGTGGATGTGAGTCTGCATCTGAGTCTGGGTGTGTGTTGGGTGAGGATGAGTGTGAGTAAGGGTGTGGGTGTGTATTTGGCTATTCTTTTTATTCACCCACACCCACACCCACTTTCGTTTTTTTATTAATGTCAAGGACGATAAACTAATAAATCAGGGTAAAGCTATATTTTATCAGATACATGATTTTATAGCATCAACTGAAGAAATTTTACCTTTTCAAAAGATTAAATACTAGAATGATATGTTTTTGTTTTTGATAGTCCTGTGATAATAATTCAATCTCTTACCATGAAACTACTTTATTATAATCAGTAAATTTCTCTACTCGAAATTGTTAACTCATATTAAAACAGTTTTTATTTTAGACATATTATACGAGTAATATGTTTTGTTTAAGTTTAATACATCTCTGATAAAAAGATATTTGTAATTATAAAAATTATTCGATCAATGCATGTATATTGCATATAATTAAAATTTATTTAGAATACAAGAGTATTTTTGTATGGCACACATAAGATAATGACGTATGTTTTTGTGTTTTCTTCTTTTTATATCTTATCTCACCTATCTAAAACAGCGAGTTAAAATTATATTATTTTTCACTTGTCATCTACTCGAGTTCT